TCTGTAGCTGTTTATCACCTTAACAACTCTCCCAGAGACTCCAAAAAGCAAATATTGTTTATTTTGTGTAATATTTTTAGATGGTATAACAAAAAGAAAAGGCCAAGGCACAAAATAGAAACTTTTACAAAAAAATGTGCTTTTTACTATTGTAATAGACATTTGAATTATGAAAACTGTTTATCCAACTGATAAAAGAAGTGCTTTAAATTTAGTCAGTTTTTAGTTGAAATCAATTAACGATATGATGTAAATAAACAACACAAGGATGTGAGCAATTTAAAAGGGAGATAAGTTAAAAAGGATAAAAGTTATTGTTTGTATGAACAAGATCTATAGTTTATATCATAGAAGTGATGACACATGTTTAATATGACCCCACTTACAAATTAGTAACACCCAACCACTATACAGCAACTATCACGCAGCTAGCTAGTATATCTTGCTAAATTATGAAAGATGATAGTCTTGTGCAATGTCTCAAAGTTAGATTCCTTGATAAGATTTCTTTGACATGAACTTTGAGTTAATACAGATTCAAATATTTAACTCGGTCCATTTAAGCTAAAACTTAGCATCTGTCAAAAAACTTAGAAAAACGTTGATAAAATTTTCTGATATACTTGCTGACTCCAAAAGTAATTTTTTTAAATGGAAAATTAAAAAATCTATGAAATGGAATCATCTGCTCATAATAATCTATTCAGAGAGTTGAAGAACTATTGATGAACAATTTGCCAACGCCCAAAACCATTGTCCTGGAAATGGGTGTGATTCCTGAATTTTTCTAGTTTCTGAATATTTCAGACCAAGCCACCAAGACTAGATTATGATTAAGTGACGTCACCAATCTCAAAAGGCCTTATGGGATAAAGCATATTTTGAGATTAGTACCATCATCAAACACTTAGTTTATTGGAATTTCAGAAACCACAGATATCTGTGGTGAAAATTGATGCTTTCAGTGTCCCTGATACACAACAAAAATTAAGAACGCCTCTTTACAATCCCTTTTAAGTTAGTGGGATTAGAAAAATGGATTTTATAACTTATCATCAATATTTAAAAAAACTTTGGCTGTCTGGAGAAGATAATGTTATTAGGAATAATACCGTTCCTCTAAAAGTATTCCATTTCCAATATACCAATTCTATTGATACCAATGTTATATTCGTTAACAATTTTAAACATAACTTTGACATGCTAATAAAATTCGGTAGTCTACAACCAGAAGAGAAAAAAAGTCGGTCGGTGTGACTCAGATCACTGCTATCCCATAGCACGAGTCGGCCAGATGGCTTTTAATGACATAGATATCTTGACAAAACATAAACAAGGAGTATCACGACCCAACTTTCTCAGGATGTAACTTAATCTTGCAAATTACTACTGGTATATTCACTGAAGTTGTGCTACATAAATGTTTCTAATTTAAAGCTAGATTGATATTATGATTACACATTAATTGTTTATGTATAATTATAAGGCTATCAGCATTTTACCCATTGCACACTGCGTGGAATTACATTGTTCATTAACCCAATAAGATAAAGAAGTCAAATTGCATTTCATTTTTAAAGCTGAAGAAGAAAACATCATATAACATTATTTAGACAACTAGAATTCAACTAGAGTTTCAGAAATGTCCTATGGAGATGTGAAGATTACTTGAAGAGAATAAGATAAAAGTGGAAATAGTTTTATTTGTTCACATTACAAAAGTCAGATTAAAAACATAGGGAATACACAAGAGAAACTTCTGATAGACACCAGGGTTAAAAATTCATGCTTTTGTGGAAATATTTCACAAATTTACCATTTGCAATTTCTAAAACCTTTGTCACAAAAAGTTTTTCATGATCAAAAGGTGAAGATTTGCCAATATTTATGATTTGTATATGACAGTGTCAGATAGGATGTACTGTAGACAGTGTTTAATATAATATTATATTTTATATACTACAGTGTCAGATAGGATGTACTGTATATAGACAGTGTTTAATATAATATTATATTTTATATACTACAGTGTCAGATAGGATGTACTGTATATAGACTGTTTAATATAATATTATATTTTATATACTACAGTGTCAGATAGGATGTACTGTATATAGCCAGTGTTTAATATAGTATTATATTTAATATATTACAGTGTCAGACAGGATGTACTGTATATAGACAGTGTTTAATATAGTATTATATTTTTTATATATTACAGTGTCAAATAGAATGTACTGTATATAGACAGTGAGAATGTACTGTATATAGACAGTGTTTAATATAATATTATATTTTATATATTACAGTGTCAGAATGTACTGTAGACAGTGTTTAATATAATATTATATTTTATATATTACAGTGTCAGATAGGATGCACTGTAGACAGTGTTTAATATAATATTATATTTTATATATTACAGTGTCAGATAGAATGTACTGTAGACAGTGTTTAATATAATATTATATTTTATATATTACAGTGTCAGATAGAATGTACTGTATATAGACAGTGAGAATGTACTGTATATAGACAGTGAGAATGTACTGTATATAGACAGTGTTTAATATAATATTATATTTTATATATTACAGTGTCAGATAGGATGTACTGTAGACAGTGTTTAATATAATATTATATTTTATATATTACAGTGTCAGATAGGATGTACGGTATATAGTGAAGGTTTGATAACTTCATGTAACAATGTCTGTGATAAAGATAAAGTTCAGGTGAGTTGTAAAGTTTTTTAATTTCATTTTCATCTTTCTGGTGTTGTACTGAATGAAATTCCTATCATGATTTTACACATGGTTTTTACACATTGTTTTTAACTTTGACTATTACTAAATGCAGGATTAATGTATGACTATGGTGTAATTCTGGCTTCAACAGTTACATCCTTTACCTTGTAGTAAAATTTTTACAATTTGTGTGATCTTCATGGTAAATATGTCAAGTAAAGACCAGTATGACATAGCTAATTGACATATTAGTGTCAAGTCTATCAAGTAATTAGTCAATAAGACAGTCATGTTAGTATAATATAAATAGATAACTTTCTAAATTATTTGTATGTCATTTTTTGTCACCTTTATGATAATATTATTCTCAGGCCACAGAGCAGCTAGTAATATATAGATATGTATAAATAAGTAAGCAAGCTCACTTCAAATTTTGGACACTATATTTTGCACAACTTGAACTGTTCTATTGACATATATAATAAGATTCTATAGCACAGTCAGTGAGAGGGTCAGTTTTTTACATGACGTCATGGTTTGGTTACATTGCGTAAATGGTGACTGGATTCCAATCTTGATGAGTGTGTGAAAGTCTGATGACCTTTAATAAGTCATCTTCACTCATAATTCCTGTCGACCAAGCTGTGAATGGGTACGATAAGAGGTTTGGCCAAGGACCAGCTGGTAGAAAGGATCATTAATTGTGAACCTAAGTTGTTATCCTTGTAAAATATAGCTCTTTCTTTCATTTCTTATTTGAACAAACTGTGGGCATATTGTTAAGGATGTACTTGACTATGTGTTGAAAGTCATCTTATCAAATTGATCAAAACAACTGTGAACCTATACAGATTATGCAGGAAAAATCATTTCCAATGGACTGGACCACTGACTAGCTAGTAAGCTGGGCACATTCATAAAAAATCTTATGACTAAAAATCGCAAATTAAACTTAACACAAGAAAAATTAATATTGCAACAGAATTGGGGGCCCTGGATCCCTTCGCTTTTGTCCTCCAAAATATAAATGCTTTCTACTATTACATTACATGTCATATCTCAGATATTTGATAATATTAAAACTGATATATTGGAAGATAATAGAAAAGGTTAAGGAGAATTTCTGCCATTGGTTTCTGTTGGGTTCAGATTATTTGTACACTGTCTGATTAGTAGACATTAAATAATCATTTTATTTAGATTAATCTGGAGAGTAGAGTCTAGAATAATATTGGCTTTACAGACCAATTTTACTGAATTCTCATCAATTATACACCAATCAATATATTGTTAATTTCCTCATTATACAGATATCTTTATGTTACATCATATATAAATATTGATGGTCAAATAACTTGGCCTTAGCCTTCAGGGGTTCAGTAGCATATTCGCTCACTGGTAGAGCATTGGAGAGCAGGAAACATACACGACATCATTTGCTTCAACATCAAACAAATGGTACTGGGCTCTAATCTTGGTTCTCTTGTGAAAGACATCTCCATCCTTATCCTGCTTATTTCAGTTGACCTTGCAGTAAATGGGTACAGAGGTTTGGCCAAGGACCAGCTGGTTAAAAGGATTCTTAGTGAACTTTAGATGTTATCCTTGTAAAAATGGCTGTTTCTTTCTTTCCTGTCATCGGTACAGTGGATATCAAAATGAATTAAAAGTGGGAATCTTTGAGAAAAAAATGTATTTAGTCATTTCAATCAAAAATTTTCAACAAATTCTGCAAATGAACCAACATAATTGCAAATAAGCTTAAAAACACTTTTAAAACAAATTCTTGGACAGTTAAAATCATGTAACTCTTAAAATATCTTCATTATAGTGTTGATAATAGTGTTGTGGTGACTGACTGACTAATACAACTTCCACAATGATAATTTGTCATGAATAATAAACTGTAAAAATGTGATGAATATAAATTAATTGAGCAATGACATTAAACTAATTCAGTCAAGTGAGGTTGATAACTATAAGATAAACCCTCAGGCTTCCTGCTTTCTTCCACCAATTTAATTCATTCCACCAATTAGATTACTAACAGCCTCTTAATGTTCAATGAAAATATTAAAATCACTTACCATATAGGAGTGGGATCATGTAAAAAAATTGCAGGCTATTTAAATATACTATGAATATGTCTAATAGTTTACAGTAATATTTTGTCTAATATTGAAAAAAAATTAAAATAAAACAAACATTTTACTTTTCTTTTGCAAAATTCATTTAGTATTTATTTTTGGCAAAATGGGTCTTGGAAATAAAATACCAGAAACACAGGACAGTCTGGAGATTTTGTTCATCCATGTTGATAAATTTGTCATGATTGATATCCTTATTTTTGTGAATATTACTGTACCATATATCTGTTTATATGTACTTAGAAATGTAAGTATTTAGAGGAAAAAGTAGTAAAAATACATACCTTAGGACATGCCTTTAATTACAAATCTACAAAACTCTTGTGTTGTCAAAAGTAATGATTTAACACTAGTTTGTCTATACACAATTCTCTCCACAAAATTAATTATTAAAATTTAATTTACCGTGAATTATGAAAATAAAGTCAGTATTTCTTAGTCTTATCAATTAGTAATAAGACATTGGTAAATTGAAAATTAATTCCTCATCAATTATCAAGATTCACTGATTCTTCTTCTCCTTTCCTTTCTTTAACAGAAGTGTCAGTTTCTAATTAGAGTTAACAATTCAAGTGACAACCACTGTTAGAAAAAAGGTTAACTGAAAATGTTAAAATAAAAAACCAATCTGAATTGTTCACATCTTGCATTTAGTGTCCATGTTTTATTAATAATTTATGATAACTTTCAACATTCTCCACAAATTACTTTACTTACGTGTGATTTGAAAGAGCAAAATCACCAATTGGACAAAAATAATGGTGAACTAAATCAGTTCTGAGAATTTGGAAATGTCAAATATGAAAATAGACTCATTTTATTTTTTGTATCCTCCATAAGCAATATTTTCATTAAAATTTCATATTTTGTAGTTTTACATCATATTGTTGATACAAAAGAGTTCAAAATAAAATCAATATTGATATTTTGAAAAGTTTTTTTGCCTTTGAATTCAAACTTATTTCATTCTTTTCAAAACACCTGATGGTATTTCTCTTGGAGGAATCCACTTCCACTACTATACAACTAATTTCTGGAGTTTGCCATTCTTTGGACGTGATTTTGGATTAACAGAATCGTCTTACTTGAATGGATTTTTACTCTCTTTGAAATTTTTGAACTGTAAAAAACAGATTGAAGAAATATTTTTTAAGACAATTTTCAGACTTGATTGGAATTTATTGTCAGGTACAAGGAGGTTTGACCCTCAATAAATAAATTATTTTGGCGTTAAACAGTAAGAATGAGTGAACATCTTATTTCCTGTGAACATTTATATTGATTCGATGAAGGCCTGATAAAACTAACATGTTTTTGATACAAATATAAGGAAATTTGTGGTGTACAAACAACTCGAGTTCAAGGAAAATCAAATATTTCACATAAAACTGGTAGTACAAGGTTGGAAAAGAGATTTAATTTTATTTATTAGTTTGGAGGTGATGTGTTTTAGGTGATAAATGTATATTTTATTGAATCGTCTGATCAGATCTAGATTTTTCATTTACTAGAGAATTCCAGTCCAATTACTTTCCTACATTTGTAACTTTTCAAACAAATTATTTTCTTATGTTATTATCACTTAGTTTTATCACTTTACCTACTTATATAGTAACACTGATGACCTTGCTGGTTATTGATACTGTCTTCAAGGTCATTCAGATTTACACTTTTGGCATAGAAATATGTAAAGCGATAAAACTAAGTAATTATCACTTAGTTATTTCACTTTACCTATTTATATATAGTAACATAGTGTCTTCAACTGGAAGGTTTTCACTGGTGACCTTGCTGGTACGATACTGTCAGCCAGGGTTCAATATAGATTGAAAAATTTGATTAGTGTTTTATCACAACGAGTTTTGACTAATCAAGTGTTGATTCCTTTTTCATAAAAATTTGGTAGCAATTTAAAATGTTCCAGTTATAGACTTCAGATTGATCTTGCCAATGACCTTAGATCCTAAAGCTTTGGAGACTGCCAAGAGTTACTGTATATTACTAGATTTGACAAAATTCGTATGCAAAATATATAATTTGATTTGATTTGCAGATCGTTGTGTTAGTTTTGGTCAATAAATTGAAATATTTTTGTTCGCAAAATGCAATGCGATATAGTTTAAATTGAACCCTGCTGTCATTAGGGGTAGGATGATTGGTTGACCTACCGGATGCCCTGTGACTCTGATTTAAAAAAAAATGTCCGTTTAGGACAAAGCCATAAATTTCTATTATGCAGTATAAAATTTAATTGAGTTTAAAATTGTTTCCATCAAATCAAAATGAATGATGTTCAAAGTTCAAACTTAAAGTGTGTTTTGCGACACATTATCAAAAAGTTTTTTTTAACTCAACACGGCAGACATCAATCTCATTTAGATTTTTTCAGACAAACAATAATGAAGACAAACATGTTTCTATTTAACACAAAATGTCATTTAATACTTATATCAACTTTTAAAGTTTCAAATTATTTTTAGAATTACTTTAAAAGGCTATATTAATTTGTGATGGAGATGTTCAGTGACTGATTATACTGTAAAATATAACATTTACTAAGTTCGTCTGACATTTCCTAGGGCATTTCAATCAACCTTCAACAAGAATTTTAAATAATACCTTCAATCCTTTAAAGCTTTCCTGCTGTTTTCAAAATTGAATATTGGTGTGAAAAATTGTTTTGCTAACATATAACATGTGATCATAGCTTTACACTGTATTCAAAATATTACTTCTGTTATGAATTTAAATATTGGATATTTTACTGTCATATTTTGGAACTTGTGAAAGGTCGAGGGTTCAATACAGGCATAGGTTAAGATACTACTATCAGATCTTTCAACAATGATTGTAAGTGCTGTAGGTTTTGAAAAGTCAAATATAAGGCAAAAGAGACTTGACTTGAAAAAGCAACTAGCTGTTCAGATTGGACAATAATCTGAGGCCCCAGGTGCACATAATTACTCCTAGCAAAATTTCCTGTATGATCTTCATTACCACTTAAATACATAATAGAACCTAAAATTCTCTATCATTCATTTCAGAAACCACAATCTGCACAAAAAGCAATTACATCACAAACCAAGGTATAGTAATTAATGTTATTTCTGTTTGAATACACTCTTGGAAAGGTTTAAGGAGTTGATGCTCATTCCAATCTGTCTCATATTATTTCTATGTAACTGTTTGAGAGATAACTGCAACGTGAGAAGAACATAGCTCAGTCAGTAGTAAGTTGGATTATTGTTTGCTTGGCAATTAGGTGCTGTGGTTTCAAATCCTTATCAATAGAAGAAACCCCTTACCAATGGAACAGGAGTCAAAAGCAAGGCTTATTTCTTTTTTCTTTGGTGAGCAAATGTTCTACGCTTGGTTGGGCATTATTTCTCTTCCAGAACAATAAATGGATGGATTTGTCAATTTCACCATTGTATAGTTTACTTAATGAATAATATTATTTGGATACTTTTATTAGCTTAAATATATTAAGATCAATCGTTCACACTATAGAAATATAAATTCATCCATTAGAAACACCTGAGACTTTATTGGTGTCCCTTAATCCTCATATTTCTTAGTTTGTCCTCTATTTAATTCATTATTCTGTCATAAAAAATCATAAATCCTGTATTTAATGACCAGGAGTGTCATATTTTTAAGAGATATGATCAATTGTCTAGCAGGATATTGAAGGAAATGGACGGTAATGGATTTACTTTTGAATTGAAAATGATCCTTTCCTTTTGTGTTATCACTGGAATTATATTAATGTAGGTATTATATTCGTGGTTATTTTAGGTACAGAATTGTGTCCGAGGGTGTAATATAGCTATTGGTTTATATGAGAAGATGATTGAAGGTAAATGTTCTAGATTTCATCTTAATGAAGGTGTCAACCCACAAGAATAATCGACATTGCAAAAATCAGTCGGCTTTTTTTCATTTATTATGACCATCTAGAGAATATTCACAATCAGTTTTACTGGTGTAATTTAAGAAATAGAAATAAAGAGGATTTGTATGAAAAACACACACTGGTTTCACAATGAATTAATCTCCAATTAGAAAAACTAAAATACTGCTACAATTAACTTGGAAATTAGTATTATTGCTGTAAATTTTGGTAAATAGACAAATTAACATTTCTATTAAGATATTTACTGATTTTGTAACGACCTGTTAAAATTTTTTATGTCAACCCTCTTTTGAAATGATATCTTTATACTGGACCGATGCTTAATATTGAAACAATATCTCTTCTCTTCCCTCTACAGCTGAACAAGGATACCTTCCAAGACCAGAGTTAGTGAGAGATTCTAAACAAGACACTACAGTAGAACTGAAATGGGATGGTTTGTTCCTGAAAAATGTAACCTATTTAGTACATAAGAAGATAATTGACTATAATAAACAAGGGGCATGGCAGTTACATAATTCTGTAGATTTTGAAAGAGATGGTACAATTTATATTACCAACCTACATCCCTATCTAACTTATAAGGTATGTGAACCAATATTGTAATAAATAGAGAAAGAATTGTTTATTTATCTTTAATAAAAAGTAACCAGGGGCTTTGTTATCCAAAACTTAATTAAAATTAAATCCCAATTTTAAAAAATTGGATAATAAACTAAATTTGAAATGAATTTTAGTGATTGACCAATCAGATGACTGGAACACTAAAATCAAAGTATCAAATAAAGTTAAGTTTTCAAGAATAAGGCCCCATACTTTTGTATATTTGAATACAAATAAGTATTTTCTTCTAATAACTGA